ACATTTACCTTTGCTTGTAGTGTGCTAGAATTTAATTCCTTGCTAGCTGTATATGATTAAGAATAATCTTTAAAGCTATTTTGTCAAGGGAATGTGTTCAAGAGAAAGCACTGCTTATTTCTCTCCAAAATTATTAATATTTTTGTTCTGAAGTATTAAGTTAACAAATGTACTTTGGATGGATATGTCTTAAGTAAATTTTTACTTACTGATTTAGGCTTCTGTCTTCAAGGTAGTCTGTTTTGTTGGCCAAATGCCATTCTGTGCCAATGCAGAGCTCAGTGAACACAAGGAAGTGTGATCCACCTTGGGAAAGCTTTGTTTAGATTGAGGTTGTCCAGGTTTCAAATAGGTACATCTGCAAGAGGATATAAACAATATTGATGGAGACTAAAAAACAGATTTAAGGAAGTTTGAGATCTCTCACTTAAAAGCCAGTGTTAAACCTGCAGCTCACAACATGTTCTTCTTTTCTGTAGGTTTAAAAAGTGCTAATTCTCCTTGGGTAAATGAACAAGAAATTTAAGACGAAATTACAAAGTAGTGGAGGAAAGCTGTAAAGCCAAGAATGAACATGAAAGGTAACTTCTTTATAGGGAAACAGGGAAAGAATTTTCAGTGTTTTGTAGTTATAATAGAATATGTAAAAGTCTGAATTTTTTTCAAGTGCTGGCTGCTGGAGACATGTTGTGTATAATACTGTAACCTTTCCTTTTAAAAAAAGGTATAAACTCCCACTTGTCTACAGTGGAAAGATGGCAAGACTAGAGGTTTACAACTTCAGAAGAAGTGCAGAACAGTTCCCACTTTTTTACTTCTAAGAGCATCATAGTGTATAAGCCAATCTCAGTGTACTAGGAATTTTGAATTATGATATCCCAGTCTTTGGGGGACAATGTTGCAAATGCTTCTTGTGCACAGATACTGAGTGGAGGGAGCAGAGCAGCTGAGTGTTACAATCCCAGCGGTGTTGAAAGAGCACCAAAACATAAAATGAACTGAAACTGTTACCTGTATAAGGCAATACAGTTAAAGTATGTTGAAGAAACTGGCTTCTACTTGGAGATATCACAGCCTTCCTGAAATATTTTGGCTGGTTTGCTGTCTGAAGTGATTGGAAATACGAATATGAACATTTGCATCCATCCAGATGAGCAGTTAGGAGACTAAACTATATTGCATAAAAGTAGTTATTTAATAAATGATTATACAAATCCACTTAGATCATATTTCTATTTCCAGGTATGTTTCTTGAGTGAGGGACAATGTTTATAATACCCTCTTGCTGTGAGAAAATACTGAAACATTGCTCATGTAGTCTGTCAGATCTAACAGCAATTCTTTTTTGTTCTAAAATCTGTTACTGTTGAAAAAACAGGAATGTTAGGAAATGAAGCAGTAATTTCACAAAGTGCAAAAAACTCTTTTTCACAGAGTGAAGTTTTGGTTCAGTACTGAGGCAGGTGATGTTAAAGGATTGATATTAGCATTTTCTGCTTGGCTCAGCTTAAGTTTTGCTCTTCATAGAGACATTTTGGGAAAATGCCAGATATATTTCTAACAAGCTTGGATTTTTATGCAGATGATAAGATGTACTCTTTAGCTCTCAGGAGATTCTGTTAATATATAATCACTAAAGTTACTGTATGGTTTGTGGAAAACTGTGTGCAGCTGCACCAAAAGCCTGAATCTCATGATAAACTTTACTGTAGCAGCATTGTCATGTCTGAGTCTTCTGCTGCAGTTCCATTCAGCACACTTCTTTTCCTATGTACTGTCACTTGAAGCCAAAATGGGAGTTCATGTTTAGAAAATGTGCCTTGCATGTCAAAAGCCTGACTTTTGACCTGCTTGAAGCCCCAGCTAGTACCTCATACTGACAAGTAGTGGAAAGTGGCTGAGAGAAAAGGGATTCCTCTGCCAGCTTTGACAAGGCTTTGTCATGAAAATTTGAAAAACCAGAGAGCTCCATGGAATATTTGTGTGACCTTGTGCCCAAACTAGGTAATGGATTTTAGAGCAAAGTTAGTTAATATTGAAAGATAATCTGGTTGTACCATAGAGAAACTCCACAAGTGTTTTTTTATGTGAAATGGTACAAATTTTAAAGCAAGTAGACACCCACTTTATTTATACACAGTTGCCAATAAAACTGTTGATAACAAATCTCTCAGAACTATATACACATTTTATTATTGCCCCCTGAATCATAATGTATTGGAATGTATTGTGAGTCTGTATATCTGTCCAGTTGTGGAAGAGATTAACTAATATCTCCACTTGACACTTGTAACCTGTACCTTGTTAAAAGTAAACTTTGTAATTTTTTTTTAACTCCATAAAATTACTTTACTAACAAAGTCAACAATATCAGTAAAAATAAAGATTTCATATCAGTGGAATAATGCATTACTTGTAGCATTTTCAGTGTTTCAAGTAGTTAACTGCTTCATTCAGTAGAAAAATTCACATGGTTAAGGAAGACAGGATATAGGAAAAGCTAAAATATCTTCCAGTGTGAATCAGTTTAGCTATAAATGAAGTTATTGAAAGGAGCCATTAGCGAGGCAATGTCTTCTGGGACAGACATTCTCTAACATCAGCAGAGCATCCTAGAACTCGAAACAGCAGTAGCTGTTCAATTTGTGAAGTGTTTTCTTATTTTGTTTTTGCCATGGAACAAGTCAGGGTTTAATTTATCTGGTGTAGCTGTAACATATTGAACCTTGTCATGATCTCTGGCTTACATACTGGTGTCAAGCAAAGCCAGTGGCTAAGCAATCTGGTTGGGACAACAGCTTTTCCCAGCTTTTCCTATCTCATTAAATCCATGCATGTTTGATCTTATTAAAAAAATATGCTGACAGCTCAGCATTGGGATTGATCCCTGAGGCTTGAGAATTTCATTATGTGCTCTATTGATTGTTTATCTTTATTTATTTTTTTTAAGAATATAAGAATTCAATTTTAATTAAAAATTGAGGGGTCTAGAAGAAGCAGCTCCAAATAAGGATTAAAAATTGGCCTTGTAAAAGAGGATACTCTGTGCATCTTCACATGAATGAAGATGCCATCTCTGCCATCTCTCCTCTTCTCTTGCTAATTTGTGAGGAAAGATGTGGGAGAATGATTTCACACAAGAAAACACAAGAGAAACACAAGGTCGAGACAGTATAGCTCTAGATTAGTTGAGAGTGCTGTAGTTCAAGCAGTCACTGATGCAGAAGATGCAGAACAAAGCTACTTCTCCATATTAGTACTGTGTACTCCAGTGCTTCTGGATCTGTGAGTGAGAGGGGACTCTTGGTCAGTGAGATGTCAGTGGTCGTGGACAGCTGGAAATTATAGTGTTGTATTGCCTCAGTTCTCATTGTATTCACTTAGCTTTATTCTTGTGGCTATTCTTTGAAGATGAACTTCTGTCTAGTTCTAAATTTTTTTAGGTGTGGGAGGCAGTCCTGTGGAGAGGCAGGAAGAGCTGATTTTTGCTCAGGTGAAATAAAAGCTCCAGTAAATGGTTTCTTGGTGACATTGTTGATATCTGCTGTTCAACTGTAGACAGGATGAAGAAATGTTTTTGGGGTTGGAGGCTGGCTGGGAGAATTCTCTGATTTCTGCTTAGGCTCCTGAATTTAAAGTAGCATTTGGTAATTTTCATTGTTTACATGGGATTTAGGTGCCCAAAGTAAGCTGGTGTTTCCAGGACTATGCTATGCACCATCTCTGCTATAGCACTGACATTTTTAAACACAACATTTGCAGACCATTTATTCCCGTGTCATTGTTTCACCCCAGCCAGCAGCCAAGCCCCACAGAGCCTCTCACTCACTGCCCCAGCAGCAGGTTTGAGGAGAGAATCAGAAAGATAAAAAACAGAAAACTCATGGGTTGAGATAAACGCAGTTTAATAGGAAAAGTAAAAGCTGCACCCATAAGCAAAGCAAAACCAGGAATTCATTCACTACTTCCCATGGGCAGGCAGGTGTTCAGACATCTCCAGGAGAGCCTACCATGTGTCACAGTGACTTAGGAAGACACACTCCATCACTCTAAATGTTCCCCCCTTCCTTCTTCTTCCCCCCACTTTATATACTGAGCATGATGTCAGATGGAATATCCTTTGGTCTGGAATATCCTTTGGTCAGTTGGGATCACCTGTCCTGGCTATGTCTCTCCTCCCAGTCTCCCATGAACCCCAGCTTCCTTGCCAGCATGGCAGTAGGAAAGGCAGAAAAGGCCTTGGCTCTGTGTATGTCTTGCTCAGCAATAATGGAAACATTTCCATATTATCAGCCTGTGTTCAGCACAAATCCAGAACACAGCCCCATACCAGCCACTGTGAAGGAAATTAACTCTACCCCAAAGGAAACCCAGACACATGGTTAGAACTTGATTTCTGATCCTTGTCTGGGCTGTGGTCTGGATTTTTTTTCCAGTTACATAGAATTTCTTGGAGAAAAGCTCACCTGCAGTGGAGGTTGGGATGAGGGAGAAAAGGACAGGTGTTCACCCTTTGAAGACATTCATACACACTTTCTTGGATGCATTCTGAGTTTGTCTTGGTTTTTCAGGGTTAAGACAAAATGGACTATGGCTCTGTGCAAGATAAGGTGTAAAGCAAAGACAAAGCATTTATCCCAAATGCTTTTGGAGAGGGCAGTGTTTTTCCCAGGGACTGAATTTGCACTTAACAGCAAATGTCTTAGCTGGGTTGTTTTGTTGTTGTTGTTTGTTTGTTTGTTGGTTTTCTCTTACTTAGTCATTTTACTGTTTAAAAATGTTCTGATTCAACTTGGCATTATTACAGGATGGCCTGTATATTTTAAACCTGAGGTAGTCTGATGTTTGGGGTTTTTTTAGAAGCAAACTGGCTTACAAGGTTTTTATTGATTGTCATCATTTATTCTTGTACACACAAATGACTCATTATACCATGCAGCCAGAGTGAGAGCTTGTAATGATTTGGCAAGAAAGTGCCTCATCAGCACAGCATTACCCAGTCTCAATGTAAATATGAGCCTTGTAACCTTCAGTGTATGCTTGGAATTCAAACTGATGTTCTCATGTATATTTGGAAAGTCATAGCAGCTAGATAAAGTCCCTGCTGACTGGAAAAAGGGAAACATCACTTCCATTTTTAAAAAGGAGAGAAAGAAAGATCTAGAGAACTCCAGACTGCTGAGGCTCACCTCTGTGCCTAGGAAGAGCCTCCTAGAAGATGTGCTAAGGCACATAAAAGACAGGAGGGTAATTCAAGGTGGCCAGCATGGCTTTACTTATGGTGCCTGACCAATCCAGTGGTGTTCTATGATGGAGTGACAGCAGGGTTGACAAGGGAAGACTGACCAACTGTCATCTATCTACACTTCTATAAGGCCTTTATTATAGTCCCTTATGGCATCCTTATCTCCAGACTGGAGAGAAATGGGCTTGATTGATGGACTCATTCATATTCAGTGGATAAGGAATTTGCTGGATGGATGCAACCAGAGAGTTCTGGTCTGTGGCTCTATGTCCAGGTAGAGGTGAGTGGTGTCCCTCAGGATGCTCATGGCACTGGCACCCCTTAATATCTTCCTCAGTGACATCAGTGCACCCTCAGTGAGTTTGCAGATAACACCACAGCAGGTCAGGATGCCATCCAGGAGGCCCTGGGCAAACTTGAGGAGTTGGGCCCATGAGCACTTCGTGAGGTTCAACAAGTCCAGGTCCAAGGTGCTGCTCCTGAGTCAGGGCGATCCCAGACATGAGCACAGACTGGGAGCAGAAGTCACTGAGAGCAGCCCTGCAGAGAAGGACTTGGGGGTTCCTGTGGGTGGAGAGCTGGACATGAGCCAGCAGCGTGCGCTTGCAGCCAAGAAGGGCCACAGCACCCTGGGCTGCATCCAAAGCAGCCCAGCCAGCAGGTCAAGGGAGGGGATTCTCCCACTCTACTTTGCTCTCATGAGACCCCACCAGGAGTGCCGCATCCAGCTGTGAGGTCCAGCACCAGAAAAACGTAGACCTGTTAGAGCAGGTCCAAAGGAGGACCACAAAGATGGTCAGAGAGCTGAAGCACCTCTCCCATGAAGACAGGCAGAGAGAGCTGGACTTGGTCAGCCTGGAGAAGAGGACACTTTGGGGAGGCGTTACGGTGGCCTTCCAGTACCTTAGGGTGTTTATAAAGAGGGAGAGGGACTTTTTATGTGGGTAGATAGTGCCAGACCAAATGTCAGCGGATTTAGATGGAAAGAGGGCAGCTTTATATTAGATATTAGGAAGAAATTCTTTATGCAGAGAGTGGGGAGCCACTAGAACAGATTGCCCAGAGAAGTTGTGGCTTCCATCCTTGGGAGTATTCATGACCAGGTTGGATGGGTCTCTGAGCAGCCAAGTCTACTAAATGGCATCCCTCTGCATTGCAGGGGGGGGTGGAACTAGGTGTTCTTTAAGGTCCCTTGCAGCCTGAACCATTCTGTGATTCTGTCATGCTAAACTGAAATGCCCTGTGCAGTTGTGGGAGGGTTGAGGATGTTTGTTTTCTATTGCACAAAATTGTGACACTGTCATTTGTTCATTCTTTTTCTTACAGCTCCAGCTTAACAAAGATGCATGATTTGTTTCGTAACTTAAGAAAAAAACTAGTCTTTCTCGATTTCTTGTCTCTTAGAATTAGGAACACAGTTGAACAGTGCTGACTGAGTCAATTCAGTTAATTTTATAAATATTTGCTCAGCAGCATTTGTCAAATTGCATTACATCAGGTAGAAAAGCGGTCAAATTCCCAATTTAAAAAAAATCAAAGTGACCTGTGCAGACAATAACTGGGTAAGGGATATGTTCTTTCCCTCCTATCTGTATCCCAGTATCTATGGACTCTGTACGGTTTGTTTGCCAAAATTAGGTAAATATGTACCTTAAAAATGTGAAGTCTCCTAAAGTTCGTAGCGTAATTATTTTATCTTTTCACAGGCTGGAGTTTCTCATGCACATTTCAAAAGATTCCATGGGTTTGCTATGCCACAGCTCCCTCAAGTGGTAGAATAATTTTCCATTTGAAATTGCAGCTTGATTTCTGTGACACTTGCATTCTCTTCAAAAGGTTTTGGGGCTTCTCCCAACTTACTGTTCTATCTGATTTATAAGAGAAACATCAGAGTTCAAAGAACAGGAGTCTGAGCAGGGAAGAATTAGGCTTGCTATACTTGGGTTCCCAGTGAGCTTTGGCTAGAAAATGCACTGCAGTATCACCATGGCATCAGTAATTTCAAGTTTCTCCCTATAAGAGTATGAAAAACATGTTTTCTGCAGTTGACATAATCATGTTGTGCCTTGATTAGGAAAGCAGAAAAGGTGCTTGGCATTCAGACTTCATATGAAATGCAATGCACATTCCCCAGTATTAATGAGCTTTGCTTTGTCCTTTGAAAGAAACCATGGTAGTAAAATGAACTGTTGGATTACTTTGTATGTTCCTGGTAAGTTTAGGAATCTCTATTTAATTTCTATTTGTGTAATACTATGGTGTCAACCTTGGTGATAAATCTGGTCCTTACTTGATTTATAGGGCAACAAACATACCAACAACTTTTTATTGTTTTCATCACACTTCCTTTTAATTTGGAAACGAAGATGAAATTTATGCTTGAGTAGTTAGTGTAATATTTCAGTACTTAGTGTAATATTTCAGAAGTCTGTGTTGCTTTTCACCTTGAAAGATTTTCAAATTTATTGCAAACTAGGTACACACAACAAAGCCAGGACCATTTCAAGACCATTTTCTCTGCGGAACCCTCTCTGATGTCACAGATTAGTACCTTTATTCAGTGGGGTTTTTTTCTGCTGTCTGTTTCTTATGCTTCTCCCAATTACCAGTGAAATTGGTCTCCATTAAAATATTTAAGTGCTTTTTCTGTTACTTTTGCCTAACTTTGCTTATTACTTTGAAGGGAGTCAATCCATCCTGCCTCTTTGCTGTAATTTGTACATTTTGAGAAAATCATTTCCTTAGAAGTGATTGTTTTGACTTAAATATTAGTAGTCTATTAGATGGTCTATTAATTTCCAAAATTATTTTTAAATAATTGTTTATAATTTTATGTCCATATTGTGATTTCAGTTTGTTTATTTAACTGCTGCCAAAACATATGCAAACTTGAATTTAATGTTGCCTGAGCTTGAAAAAGTCATTGCAGGACTAAGAAAATTTAAAATTTGTTATAACTAATTTATTGCCTTAGTGTAAGAGTCCTAAGGTAGAGCCTTGGCATGCTGGGGAGCTGTGTAGGGTCAGGTTGGTAATGATGAGCAAGGACCACTACCGTGAAGCAGGTGATACCCACAGAGTCTGTGTACAGATCTTGCCTACGGATTTCTTACACACAGATCCTCAACCAGTATTAGAGAGGAAGCTTTCTATGACACATAGCCCTCAGTGGAAGATACCTCACCTTTGCCACAAGATAGAAATATATGCACTGACAAATTATCAGCAGACGTTTGTGTGTGATAATTTCTTTGTGTGTCCATAGTCCTGTATGCTGAATGTTGAGAGTTCATTATTTAATCTTGTGTTTAGATCAGTCTGTTTTATGGTGTGTGAGCATAATACGACATATACGTAGATAGACACAAGATCTGAAGAAAACATGGAGTATGCTGGAAGAAGCAGAACTGATTCTAAGGCATAGGACAGTCATACTGGCTTAACATACAGCTGTCACCAACTCTGCCCTGGATTGCATGGAAAACAGTAAATTGGCAGATAATAATTTTCTGATGTCAGCTTCTTGGTATCCTGGAGACAGGGAACTGTTCTTGCTTTGTGATGGCTCTCCTACATGACAAAGCTCTTCTTTCTGTTCACAGCCTCTGCATTCCTGCAGAAGAGGAGAGGAGTGAAGGCACTGACATTCTTTTTAGTGTGATGATGCAGAGGGCTCAACTTAAGTCTGTGAAAACTGCATCCTGTTTCTCTGAGTTTGAAACTTCTTGAGTAATAAACTGGTTTCTGAAATGGCTATTCTTGAGGTCTTGTAGGACTTCAAAATGTAAGATGAGTATTTAAATACAGCTTAAGGGAATGCTGAGAACATTTACTGTGGAAGATGGGTTGTTCCTATAGAAAAAAGTGAAGTCTTATCCTCTCTGTCCTTTTCTTTTGTGGAGCTCTGAGGTCTTGCCTAAAATTTGAACTTGTTTCTGTCATGTAAAAGACAAGTTAGCTGGTGGTGGTCATAAAAACAACTGTGCAAATGACTCAGCTGTATCTGTTGTCCCTTCTCTACCCCTGTTCTCAGGAGTTTTTATCATGGAAACGACGCTGCAAGTAACCGGCTTATGACTTCTTCCCATAGGGATGTGTGTAGCCAGCCTTGTCTCTGTCAGGCAGAGGAGTTTTTCTGGAGTAGAATCAGGATGGATGCAGTTTCAGACAAAACACTGATTTCATGCATAAACTTAGAAGGCTAACTGCAGAAAAGAACACAACACAACACACTATTTGTTTCTGCACTCTACATTTAATTCTCCTTTTCAGCAAGAAGAAAAACAGTGTTAGGAATATAAATTTTTTTTTGCATGTGAATTTGCAATAACAATGCACTGAACATTTTTTCTGTCAAAGGGCTTAATGAAAATGAATCAGAAGGAAATACTATGAGATTGAAACCATGAAATTCTGCATTCTGAAGACCCCCTTTGATTTTCCTGTATGTATGAGAATATAAGGGAGCATGCTTTAATAATGCTACAGCTGTGAGAAAATATAGAGGGATCTGTCTTTAACCTTTAAGAATTTTCAAAATTTGTAGATGTCAGTGTTTTGAAACACTGCGGGTGTCATTGTTTTCGAGCTGCCCCATCTTGATAATCCATCTGTAATACGATGCCAGAGCTAGCAAGGGGAAGGGCAGCAGTGGGACCTCAGGTAAAAGTCATGACACTGACTTGCTTCTCTGATATCTGTAAGGAGAAACTTCTGAAATAGATGATCTCTTATACAGCAAGTGAAAAGCTGAGGGTCATGTAGGAACCAGAATGGTGTTTTTAAGAAAATGGTGGTGATATATACAAAACAAATAGTGTAAAATAGCATAAAATGAAAAGAAGACCTGGTGTGAATATACAGAAGATGAATTAATATCATAACTGCAGGAAGGGTGATGATCTTTTCTTTTGTTTCCAGGTTTAAAAATGTCTGATCTGAAAGATATTGTACACAGAACCCATTGTATTGAAACACTGCTGTCTGAGAACAATTTGCAAGATATTGAGGATCATCTTAAAGAACTTTCAGATGTTGATATGACTGTAGAATATCTTCAGAGGACAGAAGTTACCAAGGCTGTATATAGAGTACTCAAGAGCTGCCCTTCAGGAGAGCTGAAAAAGAAAGCAAAGCAGTTATTGTCAAGGTGGAAGACTCTTTACAAGAATAACTGTGCTCAGTCAGTGCAAGTTAAAAAGTCAATTTCTGTGTGTGTGAAAAAAGAAATTAAGCATCTCAGTGTAGTTCCTAGAGAGGAGTCACTGTCTGAAGGACCATGTCAGCAGGAGGCATTAGATGGCACTAGTTCCAACACTTTGGTCCCATCACAAACTGTTAAAAATGTGGTACATAACAATGCAGAAGGCAGGATTAATCAGCATTCTTCTTTTGAGGAACAACACACTGTTCATGAAGATTCTAAATCTGTCATCAGCGAAGCAAGTCTGCAGCAGGATCTGATGAGAGCTCTGAGGTGTAAATGTGTGGATCTTCTTTACAAAGCTTTGATTGGTTCTGCCAAAGATGAAGAAGAAACTGTTAAATGGCTAGAGTTAGCTAAAGAAATTGAAGAACATATTTTTGCCCTTCACGCTAAAAATGACAAAAAGTATAAAAATTGCATCAGAAGTAAAATCTCTAACCTTAAGAACCCTAAAAGTTGCCACTTAAAGCATAACCTTTTTTCAGGAACTTTGAGCCCAAAGGCTTTTGCTGAGATGACAGTGATGGAAATGGCCAGTGATGAACTGAAACAGCTCAGGGCTCTGTACACAAAATCATCTGTTCAGGAACATCAGCTTCCACAGGTGATTAATGGCACACAGACAAACAAAATAAAGTGCAGACGCTGTGAAAAATTTGATTGCACTGTCACTATGATTGCCAGAGGAACTCTCTTTCTTCCAGCTTGGGTGCGAAACACAAATCCAGATGAGCAAATGTTGACGTACGTTATTTGTAATGAATGTGGAGAACAGTGGTATCACAGCAGATGGATTTGTTTGTAATGCTGTCCCTCTGTAAAAAGGGGCTTGGAAATGTGAATGACAACTTACCTCTTTTGAAACTCTGTAATTTAAAATCCTGTGCTGATACTATGTGGGTGCTGCCACTAAAAACTGCAAAATCAGTTTGAAAAAACTGCTAATGTGTTTGTAAAGATGGCTTGAATGAATTACGTGTTTTTAAGTAATGTAAATATGTAAAGAAATAAAAGGATAAAGGGAAAAAATGGTTACACTGTATCTGAGTGGAATATTGGCTAGTAAATCCGTTAAAATTATTCCAAGTGCTGAGTTTTTTCCTGAAGGGTCTGGATACTTGGAAATTTTTTTTTTAACTTCAGGAGGAGTTCTTTCACGGAATGTAAGTTTCATTTACAGTAAACAAACTGTTTCCAAAACTGCAGTTCACGTACTTATGTGCATTGCAGAATGTTCAGCATGGATTCACTCCTTAATTAAATCACTTTTTGCGAGCGTTAGATTATTACGTTGGTTTGAGAGGTGACTTCTAACAGGGAAAAAAGAAATTAAAAGTAGACTGTTAAAGGGGGTAAAAAACAGCTAGCAGATGAAAGCAAGAATGAGATTCTGCTTTAGAATTAGTTATGAGAAGGAAAACAGGACTTGTGACAGTCTGTCAGTATCCAGGTTGGATTTACAATGTAAGATGGTGTGTCCTGCTACTGCAAAGAAATTAATGCAAGATCAGACAATGGATTATTTCAGAAAATGATGTAATAAATGAGTTAATAACTTTCTTGAGTGGATATCCTCTCTGGAACTGGGACATCTGTCCTGAACTGAGAAAATTAATGTTTCTATATAGTGCACATTACCCACAAACAGTGAATAGAAGGAAATCCAATTGCAGAAGTTTTTATGCATACTTTTGTTCCAGAGTAAACAGGATTCTCACTCATCATTCACTAGAAGTATTTATTTAAAAAAAAAAAATCTTCTCACTAAAGTAAGTTACCTGTATCTTTTACAAATGCACAACAGGCATTTAGCACTTCAAGGTTAAAATATATCAGCAGAGCAGAGGAACCTGCTGAGTATTTGCTGGAGGAATTGAGGACAGTTCTGCACCCATCTGACTGTGATATAGCTGAGGCTGTGACATAGCTGCATGACCTCTCAGAGAAAGGAGTTGGGGGCATGAGATGAGAAAATAGGTATTGATGAACTAAATGCCAACCAGGACTGAAAGATGAACCCTTATCTGTATATGGGGAAATTTATGTGTAACCTGATATTACAAAGAGACATTTAAAGTATTCTACTGAAAAAAAAAAGTCTATTCTGTGAAGGGTTAACAGTTACCTTTCAGCAGCATTAGTTAGATTTTTAGCATATAAAAACCTGTGGTTTTGGGGAATTGCAGTGATGTAAAATACACGTTAAAGCTTTAGGCCAGACCCCCAGTGTTCAGCTGTGTAACCAAGGAGTTACTATCTGGCCTTCCTTCCCAACCCTTACTTGTGTGCTGGAATTGATGCTTATGAGTAGTCCTGCTTAAGTGACAGTACTTTTGTGTAAAGTATTATTGTTAGCTTTCAGTGAAACTACAGGAAAGCAAACACTCCTGTGTTAGTGGATCACAGCAAGAACAGAACCTTTCATTTTGAAGGTCATGGTCTTGTTGAGGAGAGCTTTATGCCAGCATTGTGCTGTGTCAGAACACCATGTAGCAGAAGACTTTATTTTAGCTCTGAACAACTTATAAATAATTTCTGCCTGCAGTTGGTTTTGAAGCCATTCCAGTAATGTACAGCTCATCCAAGTTTTATCTTGGAAAAGGAAAATATTACAAGGCATGGAGGGTGTTTCTGACAGAATATATTTCAAGGGTAAAATTTGTATCTGTAACACTGACTACATTTGTGACATAATGTGTAACATCATTTTCTTTTGAACTGCCCGTCACTAAATGTGTAACTGTGCAGGTTTAAAATATTCGTCTGGCTAAGATTATATGCTATATTGTACACTTTGTCTCAAGATGTCTTTAAAAAGCAAACATGCAACTACATAGTGTGTACAAGAGCAGGAGGGTGTAGATCACTGGAGTACAGGAAGTAGAATCCAGAAACAAAAGAAAAGCTTTGAAAAATTAGATTCTTTTATATTGCTGATGTATTTTTTTTTTTCAGTTCATTCCGGGTGAGAAAAAATCTCTGAACTTTTTTAAGCAGAGACCATTAATTTGGGTATGATGTTTAGCATGTCTGTGCTGCTACTCCTACAAGGAGTGTGTTGGTAGATGTGATCCCCACAAACAGAGGACAAATACATGCTTAACAAGGCTAAAGTCTGTATTTGTCTCCATGGGGTTTTCCAGAAATGCTGTAAATTCAACTCCTTGAATCCTGTGATTTAACAGCAGCAAAAAGGTCTTAAACATAAATTGCTCTCAAAGATCAAGCAGCCTGTAGCTGCAGAACTTGTGATACATATTTCAAGAAGATGAGAACTGAATTAACAATGAATTTCACACAATTTTCAATGTAAAAAACAAAGACACTATTCTCTATCTGAAATGCTCTATTAATTGTAGTCAGTGTCGCTCCCTTAACACGAGGAACAAAACTCCTTCTGGTTCCTGGAGATCCCCTGCCAGATCCACTTCCATCTGTTCTGTTGAGTGCCTTTTCTATCTCTGTCATATCCCTCTTACTGTTCACTTTTTGGGGAGGTACTCAGCTGCCATTTGTTGTTTATAACTCTTTCTTCTTTTCAAAACCAAAAGGAAATTTTTGCTGTTTATTTTTCATTTAAAGTGTATTCCTTTCTGTCTGCTGTGCTATCTACATTTGCTGCTAAAGCAAAGAACTGCAGCTCTTTAAACAAAAACCAGCTCTTTTTTTTGTGCCAAGAAGGAAAGTTAGCTGGTAACCAGCTGTGGTTAAGGAGCAAATATTACAGTCCTTCAGGGAATCTTCAGGGTGTAATGGTGCAATTCACTGACTGGCTGGAAGATAAGGAAAGAAACAAGAGCACTTTGATAATTTCTTGGATTGCTTGGGAGCTGGCTTGCTGCATTCTGGTTTTAAAAGAGCCATAAATGACTTCATATCCCCTTATTTTGTGCTGTTGTAATTCATCCAAGAGGTGACAAAGTCATGTTTTACTGAGGCCATGTCATCCCTTGCCAGGATGGGACATTGTCTCCTTGCCAGCTACAGATGGTAAAAAGTATTATTCACAAGCTCTTATTATATGAGAGCTTTGCTGATACAGAACTTCCTCCTACTCACAAAAAGTTGCCCTTTATTTGCCATTGGATGTTTTTTGTGCTGTTTTCTCTGACATGGCATAACAACATGAATACACCTCTGTGAACAAAATCCCGAAAGTGCAAGGTCAGCTTTCAGATGAGGGGGCATGTGAGGGGGCAGCAAGGGTAGCTTGCTGCACAGGGGGAGGCGAGCCAGGGGAGGATGGTGGGTGACAAGACATGCAGGGACAGTGGCTTCAGGTGTAAGGGTCACTGTCCTGCAGCACCCAAACAAGAGCAAGGCAGGTCCAGTGACAATGATCTGCCAAAACTCCAGTGGGAACCAGGCAAGCTTGGGGACGTGCTGTCGGACGGAGATTGGTGCACAAGGTGGGTGCAGGGACGGGGCCACCGGGCTTGTACAGTGCCTGAGCCAAAACGGGGCTCTTGCTGGCAGTGGGATTCTGGAGCACTGCCCCAGCCCTGCTCCCCCACATGGGATGGTCAGACAGCGGCCTCGGACAGGAGCAGCCCCACAGCAGCCTCCACTGGGATCCTGCCTGTCTGCAGAATTTAAACAGGAGTGATTTTGGTGCACTTGTTTCAAACTGTGTCCTAACTGGGCGTGTTCTTCTGTCTGACCTCAGGACTGGCAGGTGTGCTTCATGTGACCAGCCCCATTATTTGTTCTACAATTTGTGTTGTTCTGTAGCAACTATTGTGTTTGTTACATATATAGTATGTAACAGAGTGGACACAAGGAAAAGGGCCTTCAGTTCCTGATCCTCAAGCACTCATGCATGTGCATTAACTATGAGAGTAACCCTATCATGCTCCATTGTGCCTATAAAATCATAAGCATAGTAGCCATGGTTACACCATGGTTCTTTTCTATTTTCTTATATGTTCCCATGTAAAGGAAATAAAAATACATCCTATCTGAGAAGTTCAAGAATTTTGTTTCTTAATAGAACTTGAAAAAATGAGGTATCTGCACAAGCTGAAGAGCTGGGTTCAAGTGGATCCTCATGAGGATCAATGAGGCCAAGTACAAGATGCTGTACTTGGGCAACCCCTGCTGTCAATACAGGCTGGGAGTTGAATGGATTGACAACAGCCCTGAGGAGAAGGACTGGTGCTGGTGGATCAGAGGCTGGACATGAGCTAGCAATGTGAACTTGCAACCCAGAAAGAATCAAAGGCATCATGAGCAGCAGGTTGAGGGAGGTGGTTCTGCTCCCCTACTTTGCGCTCATGAGACTCCACCTGCAGTCCCGCATCCAGCTCTGGGGTCTCCAGGACAGGAAGGACATGAACCTGTTGGAGCAGGTCCAGAGGAGGCCACCAAGATGATCAGAGGGCTGGAGCACCTCTTCTGTCGGGAAAAGATGAGACAGCTAGGGTGGTTCAGCCTAGAGAAGACTGTAAGGACCTCATTGAAGCCTTACAGGACCTAAAAAGGGGCTCATATGAAAGATGGGGACAGACTTTTTAGCAGGGCCTGTTCCAGTAGGATGAGAAAGGAGCATAGATCCACACTGGACAGACTGACTATATTCAGGCTAGGAATTCATTTTTTTACAGCAAGGGTGATGAAACCTTGTACCAGGTTACCCAAACTGATGGTGGCAGGGCTCTGAGCAATCTGATCTAGTTGAAGATGTCCCTGCTCATTGCAAGGTGATTGGACTAGATGATGTTGTAAGGTCCTTTCCAAGCCAAACTATCCTGCAATTTTAAATTTCCTCACATGTATCCAATGTGTTTCAAAACAAAATCCAGTGTTGTTTCAAAACAAAAACATGGTAGCTTCTCCCTAAAAGATATTAAGTGCAAAATAGAGTAATGATTTCCTCCATTTCTAAATGCAGCTTTTTCTTCTGTATAAATCATAAAATAATGATTTATAACTGATCAGAGCTTATATACCTTAGAATTACCATAATTTAAAGTCCATGTTCCTACCCCTCCAGCAATTGCTTGTCTTTTATTCTAGAATTGGATGAAAGCAGATTCCAGGAAAAAAGCACTTAAAATTTTTTGAAGTCCAGCTTTGTTAGATAAAAGTGGGTCTGGTATCATCAAATTTGCCTCTAGCATGGCTTGCCTTTTAATAATCCTGTTCGTGTCAGTAGGAGACATCTCCTTTTGATGATACTGAGATCTTTTCCATTCCTTGGGCCGTGTTTCTGTCTGATCCAAAACAAGACAACTCTACAAGTGGCAATTCCAGTCTGGTTGCATCTGCCTTATGATCAGAAGCATGTGATGACTGCTTGAGCAAATGGGTGTACTTATGCCTGTCATCACCTATTCCTCCTGATGGTGTGGGAACCTCTTTGATTTTTTGTTTTTTTTTTCATTTTAATTATACTTAGCCCTCGTGAGGAGGCTGTAAGAGCACAGAAAATACTCTTATCGTCTCCTTTAGCTTTTTTCCCTGCCAGTTGGTCAAGTTGGTGTTGTTCTGAGTTACTACAAGGAAAAAAGTGCCTGGCTACTTTTTAAAAATAGCATGTTTTGTATTTCAATGAATTCCTTCATTGGCACATTAAATGTTTTTACTTGTGAAGTGAAGCTGCCTTACAATTGTGAGTTTGCGTACCCGGGGCCCTGAGAGTGGAGCACGGTGATGTTACTGCCTTTAATAAATACCTCTGACCGGCAGGTGCTTTATAAAGGCATTTTGGGCTTAATAATGCAGGGCATTCTAGAACAGGTAAAAGTGGTGGTTTTTTCCCAGGGGAACGCTCTCAGGCGGCGCACGATAGTGATCGCTGAGAGATGGCCCTCGATGGGCCTTTCCGGCGCTGGTTTGGCTGTGGGCACGGTCTTTCCCGTTGCCGGCTGTTCCCGTTGTTCCCGTTGCCGGTTGTCCCCGTTGTCCCCCTTTTCCCGTTGTTCCCGCACCTCGGGCTGAGCGACTGCCCCCGTTCCCGTCGGGGCGTGGCCTCTGCCCGGTGGGCGGGGTCGGTGGGCAGGACCTGGCTCACGTGGTGCCCGGCCCCGCCCTCGGTCTGTCCGCCATGTTCGTTCCTTCCGCAGCGCCCGGCGGCGGTGGCGCAGCCCGGGATCGGGACCGGCGGCAGGAGCGGCCACAGCTCCTTCCCGCGGGCAGGGATCGGCCCCACCAGCGCGCCCGGGAGCGGCGGCACTTCCCTTCCCGCGGTCTGGAGCCGAGTCAGGTTGCGTTGTTTTCCTTTCCCTTGTTGGCGCGTTCCCCGCTCGCTCCCCCGCCGCTGTCCGAGTTGCCCGGCGCGCTCCCGGTGTTCCCTGGCGCAGCCTCCGGGGAGCGGGAGGGAGCCCCGGCCGGGCCCGCGGTGGGAGGGGGCCCCGGGTGCTCCCCTGAGCCGGTGCGGGTGGCGGGGAATGTGGCGTGATCCGGGATCCCGTGACTCCGGGGCAGGCGGCGCTCCTTTGGGAAGCGGCTCCAGCTGGCGTGTGGCCGGTCGCTGACCCCGGAGCGCTTCCTCACGGCTGAGAGACATGGCTGGTCTGTCAGGGTGAAACTCGCTTCGTACCTGTGTCCTCAACACGCTTCAGACTGGGAGCAGAAGGAGTATTGAAGCTCCTTTTATCTCCTTTTTCTCGCTGCTGCGTGCTTGGAGCGGGCTGCCCAGGGAGCAGTGGAGTCTCCGTCCCTGGAGGTGTTTGAGGAAGGGCTGGTCGTGGCACTCGGTGCCGTGGGCTGTTCACGGGCAGTGTTCGGCCGTAGGTTGGTCTCGGTGATCTCAGAGGTCTTTTCCAGCCCGGTGGATTCCGTGCTGGAGGGGGCCCGCCTGCCCAGGGCGCCCTTGGGTTTCATTTCTCCTTTTCCGGAGCGGTGCCTCGGCTCGGCCGCTCTGCGGGCCGGGGCGGTTCCCGGGGCGGTTCCCGGGGCGGCAGGTGCCTCTGCGGGCCGCGTGTGGGCCGGGGCCGGGAATCGCTTACGTCTGCGTGGTGCATGGGCCGCTCTCGGTGCGAGGAAATCCGTGTTACGTGTAACTTGTTCAAAACAATTTAGTGGATAGCAGGATAGGGCAAGAAATATAGTTTTAAAAACCTCCGTTAGTGCCTTTATAGCAGGTTACATGTAACTAGAGACGTGGAGAGCATTTAAGTTCTATTAACTTGGGTGGGACGGTTAAGTAGGGAACTTCTTGGCTAAGTTTTGTTCAGGAACTGAAATGCTCGTCTGCAGATAGCCGTCATGCAGCCTCCCATCCTACGTGTTGTTTTCCTTCTTGTCCATAATTTACAGCTACACTAAATAAGCATGTGGGTTTTATTTGTCTTTACTTTTAACATGTTGTGCAACACTGAAGTTGTCAGTGCTAGGTTTTTTTAGAGCAAGGGTGGCTATGTGTGACTGGTGGGTTTTTTTATTTTGTTTTTTCAAAGTGTTTTTCCATTACTTTTAATAGCTTTGAAGGTAACAAGCTGTAATGGCAGACTGGAGGGAAAGCACACATACCCAAAATAAATCCAAAACATTTTTTTTCTTAGCACTTTTATTTTCAGAGAAACCTAATCAAAGGATGATACAGCTCTGTGTTTCATACCAGCATAAAATTTATAATGAAATCTTACTTTTCTCTGTCTTAATTCAGGTTGCATGGCGCTGTCTTAATTTTAGTAAAGCCTTTTCCATAAAGTTAAAAAGAGGCAGTGTGTAGTAAAAAAAAAAAAAACAAAAACTTGCTCTAGCAGTCCTTGTTTTACTTTTGAGTGCTCAAACACCATCAGTTTCCTTAAATTGAAAATATGTGTAAAAAAAAGAATTGCAGAGGGTCAAATAAGATATTTAAATTTCAAGCTTTTTTTTATTTTGTGTCAGTTTGGTAATAAATTTTGGGAAACAGATCTTCCAGCTCCTTAAGATTGGAATTTTACATAAATGTTTCACAATGAATAAAAACTTCCCAGCAAGAAGGCTTGTAAGAAGTCCTTAGGGTTTGTTGCTTTGTTGTTTGGGTTTTTTTTTTGTTTTGTTTTGTTTTTTGGTTGGTTGGTTGGTTTTTTAGTAGTGTTCATTCTCCCTTGCGTTTTGTTTTTGTTTTCCTTCTGAGCAAAGCAGACAAGTGTGTTGGCCTGGTACAGTGTAACCCACTTCATGCCTTAGGGATGGGCTTTTGTCACAAGAGTAACACTGGGAAGAATATGAATATACAAGGTAGCCTTGAACCAATAGAGGCTGCTATTACTAAGATTCCCTGAAGGAAAAGGGAAACTAATGCAAGGGAGAAAGATGAGCACATTTGGGCAGAAATAATTGCTGGATAGGTTATTGTAAGAGTGGGAGCAGTAATAGAGAAGTAGGTTGCAAGGAGAATGGCAAATAGCTCAGGCATTGTTAGCAATGTTGGACCAGGAGCAGCAGCACCGAAGGGTGTTTTGAAGTTGGCTGAAAGTAATAGAATATTTAAACTGGAAGATGTTTAACTGTGAACTGCTGAGAAATGTCAACTCTGATTAAACTGGAATAAGTAAGTTTGCTCATTTTACTTGAATTTGGGAATGAGGTTGGAGGTGAAGGTTAGGCTGATGCAAGATTAAACTGGCAGAGATATAAATGTAGGTATTTCTCCTGACAAATGTTGCTAATTGACTTTGTGTCTAGCTAGGAGTTGGAATAAATGAAGTGATTCTGGCAGTGGGTACTGAAATGATTTAATGATCCAAGGGTTATGTGAACTTCAGGATTTCTTTCCTTGCCCACTGGTTCTTTCATAGCCCTGAGTCATGCCAGACAACTGTTTGAACTGGAATCCCGAGCTTCAGAGGAGTCAAAAACAGCCTTACAAAGAAACCCCCAAATGAAACTCTTTTGTTATCCAAATGAGTGGCAACAGCTGAGTGACAGTTCATTTTGGGTTGGGTTCATATAAGAAATTACAAGTAAATTCAGTTGATATTCTGGTGTTAGGTCAAGGCTGCTTACAACTAGAGGCAATTTCAAATAGTCTGTGTTTTCTTTTGGATAGATGTTTAATAATTTGCCGACAGATTATCTTCATAGTGCAGTGGTGAAATCACAGATACAGGAAGGAAGACTTGTGAGGAGATTAGGACTTCGGTAGGTCGAGCTGTATGACTGAAGGGCTTTGAGGCAGCTGACAAGTGACTGTCAGTAAAGGGGTGTTCCTGATCCACAGCTCTTATCCTGATCAGTGCCCCATGGAGGGGAGGGTCAGTTTGGAGGCTGACCAATGTCTCTGCTTGTAACACATTCAAGAGTACAAAGCCTGTAGCATCTTGGCTTCATATCTGGTTGTTTTCCTTTCAATTGAGAAAGAAGTCTTTCAAGGTCAAAGGTGGTTGTGGCCTCTTATGCGCTAAAAAAGTATTCTTCTGCCACTTAATTGACCAGGGTATAAACCACTACCTCCCAAATATAAGAACAAGGATTGGCTGAGGGGAGAAAAGTGAGAAAACATGCTTCTGTCCTTTCTTTTCAGATTTTTGGAAACTTGCAGATCTGCTATAGGCAACAGGTTTAACCACTGTAGTGATTGGGGGCTGAGAATGTAAATCCTCCACAAACAGTAAGTGTTGAAAACTATGTAGTTTTGGATTCTGCCCTTTCTGCTGCAACTCTTGTAGTTCTTGGGGCTTCTTTTCAGACATTTCACAGAGAAGCAATTAATGTCATTCTTTGATGGGCTGCTGTAACTAACAAACTACATTTTCTGTGCTAGCGTGGCAGTTATTGTCAAATGCTTTGTTTCTGTGAAAAAACCCCAACTACTAATGAGGGAGGGAGTTTACATTTCTAGTGAAAGGCAAGTGTTTTTTTCAGTCAAAATACTTGCAGTGGTGTGCCTTTTAAAACTTCTAATTTGATACCAGTGGCTTAACAAAATACGGTGGCTTAGTAAATAAAATTGTGAATAAGCTGAAATGGATGTGCTTATATGTGTAAATTTGAGAATAGGAAGTTGTGAAACATGGTCAATGTTATGCTTGTAGAATTACTAATTCTGCTTGTCCATAACTTTAGTGTCTTTTTTTAAAATCAAAGATGGCCCCTTTTTGGCTGATGGCACATTAGGTTGTAAGTAAACATGATTACTTACATGATGGAAACAAACTGGAGTCTGTTCCATGTTCAACAGCTTCATTTAAAGAGCAGTGTACTATATATCCTCAAGAAAACCTTTAGGTTAAGTCTTGGTTTTGTCTAGCAGGTGATTCATCAAGCAACTACTGAATGACAGTGTCAACTGAAACAAATTTTCTTGCCTGTTTCCAAGTTAGAAAGTAACACAAGTGGAGAAGCAATTGTCTGGAAATTATAAGTGTCCCTTACATCTGTTTCTTCAAAAATGCTAAGACCGTTCAGTGGTGGTATTACAATAGGTCCAGGTTTTGGTGCCCTATTAAAAATGGGGAGTGGAGGTGAGATTTCAGTGGTTTGGTTTTTTTGTTTGGGTTTTTAATGGTGTGCTGCAATGGCTGGTATCAGCATGGGAAAAATGAAACGGTAAATAGGTCAGATTGCCTTGGTTTGATTAATAGTTTACATGGGGTTTGCAGCTTGCTGACATAGATGCAGTGCAGTTACTGTGTTGACCAGCACTGTTTTTCCATAAAACTTGAGTTCAGCATTTGTCTTCAGCCTTCAGTACACTGGTGTGAGTGGGTCCTCCTTCATCTGTGAAGTTATTTTTATAGTAAAAAAGGACAAATTCCTAGACTTGAGTTTACGTGTTGCTGCTATGGTTTTCTAAACCAAGAATCTTGCTTTTCTTTGAGTGCTGCCTCAGTATCTATGCAAGAGAGGTATTTGCACTCAAAGACAGATATTAAGCTGACATATGGAAGTAACACAATCTAGATGGATAGACTGGACAAGGCAGTGGTATTTCATTAAGCTTTGCAGGACTGGATTTTGTAATGCAAACTGATTTTTCTGAGGTTGCTTAGCTGTTTGTCTTTCGTTGTGACAGCAAATATTTGGACTGATAGTGGAAATAGTTGACTTGCAATTCATTTTACTGTTTAAAAGGGACATCCTGAAAGGCAACAGTTAATTTACTTTTTTGTGTTATGGTATATGATCATGTCATAAATTACATTTAGTAGAAAACGCTCCCTGCTTTTAACAGGAATATTGAAGTCAGTGATTTAAGCACTGTAATCCTTTTAAGTTAGGGGAAGCAATTCAGAAATGGTTATCAAAATGAACCAAAGTGGGGATGCTTTTTATTTGCTTTCTTTGAATATTGAAATGAGTGAAGAACATGAGGAAAATTATTCTTGTTACAGACCCTCTGTCTAGTAGGTTGAGATTACTTTTACATTAACTAATTGTGTAGCTCACTAAGAAATAACTATTCTGTCTTGTGATTCTTGATGCTGGGTAAAACAATCAGATGCACATTAGGAATTAAGCTTTTGGTTTGTTTTCAGATCATGAAGGATGATTAAAACTGAAACATTGATTTAGTAAATTTTCAGAAACATCATATTGTAGTTAACCATCCCTTCCAAAAACACTGTCAAAACACACATTGTACAGATAAATTGTATAATAGGAGAAATAATATAAATTCTTGTAGTGTCTTAAGTATTTTATCATTGTATTATTTGTTGGAGTGTTAAGGCTTCATAACTTTAGAAAAAACAATTACAAAAATTGAGTCCTTTAAAAATCTTATTTAAAGATGTACAATCAGAAAATAAATATAGCAGTCTACTGTTCTGAAAAATACAACTCTGATTCAGAAGACACTCTAAATGACATTATCAGTTGTGGCTGCAGATGAGTCCCTCATATAGTAATAAAACTGTAAATGTATAAAGTTTTAGCTGCTTTCAAACAAAAATACTTATTAATACTTTCAAACGTGCTTCTTTGGTGTTTCAGATACAGCTTGTCAGCATCTATTTAAATGACTGAATGTATATTCCTTTATTTTGAATTAAAAACTTCACAGAAACTTAACTCTAGCCTAGCATGGCAGCTGTGGAAACCAAATGTCCTGAAAAGCAACATTGCCTGCAACATCACGGAAGACTCTTTCTGTAGCTGTTGTGTGAAAGGACCAATTTGGTCCACTTTTAGTAGTTTGTGGTTGGTCTGTAATTGTCTGCCCAGTAAAACTAATTTTATGGTCATCAGTCTCTTAGACCTCACTAGAATGGCCCACATAGTTGAAATTGTGCAAATCAACTTAGCAGGTTCTAGATGCACAAAGTAGTAGGTGCTGTTAACACTTTCCTTACTTGTATTTTGTTTAAAATGTGGCCTTGTGGACAATTTCATGATAATAACTGCCATTGATAAAAATGCAGATGCTAAAGAAATGAGTGCATAGTACCAGTCAGAACTACTTAAGCCAGTTATTTATGCACATTAGTCTTTCATGGAACTTCTGATTTCTGCAGGACTGGAAGAATAAATTACACCTTGTTCCCTGCACTGGTAGGGAAGAACAGGAGAACATTCAGTACCCTCTGTTCCCATGAAAGCATTATTTATTAAGGAGCAGCTCCTGTCTGTTGATGTAGAAAATGGAGACATAAATAAATACACTGGACCATTTTGAGAGTTAAGCATATGAACCTGCAACTCTTATGCAAGTAGTCCAGTGACTCTAATGAGGCTTTTCACATGCACTAAAATGTATGTGATCATAATCTGAGCCATAGCCATTATCCTGTAGCTCTCTGAAGGGTAAATGAACTATCTTCTTGTAGCTTCTAAGAAGTTTTATTATCATACAAACCTGTACAGAATTAAGGCTTTATAAGCATTGTTGTTAGTTATGCAGTATGAATGAATTAAATTACTTGCTGTGAAAAAATGTTAAATGGAAGCAGTCAGTTCCTTGTATTTTGACTTTTTTTTTGTATTGAGGTTTCAAACTCTTTTTGTGCTACTGTAGATTGTGTGTAGCAAGTAAATATTCAAAGATGGAAAGTAACTGATGAAAAAAAAATTCCTGAAATTTCTTGCTCCTACTGTAGGCCTTGATTGTAAGGCAGCTCAGAGTCATATGACTCTCACGCCAGCTTGTATCAGGTACTAATTCTACAGCCACGCTGTGGGTGATGTATATGCCAATAATGCTAATTACAACTAGCAAGACCACATTCCTTCCTTCAAAGAAAGAGAGGGACTTGGCAACTTATGACCCATTTCCATTTTAAATAGCTGCTATTTTCAGAGAAGCCTGTTAGGGCTGAAGCCCAAACTATCAGGTAGGTTTAGGAACACAGTTCTCATACAGAAACTTCAGTTTGGGCTTGATAAAATGAAACTTTACCCCCCAAGCAATTAAAACACCATTTTACAGTATTAGGTGACACTGCTAGTTGTGAGGGCAAAGGTTGGGTACAAAGCACTAATGAGCAAACTACTTTAGTGCTAAAGGATTTTTTTTTAATTTCTTTTTAAGTCTTAGCAGTTAAAAAGCTTTTGGTGTCACTAATTTGCCATCCCCATGCTGGCAGCCAGACTATTCACTAGCACTTCCAGAATTTTTGACAATTTTACTACGGGAAGTTGACACCTCTGACTGAACTGTCATTGTAGGCTTGGGCCCAGTATGTGGCATTTTGAGTATCATTGAGGTACTAACAGTAAATTTTCTCTTCTGGTAGTTTTAACAGTATTCCATTCATCAATGCTGTACTGCAAGGAGTAAACTATAAACTATTGATTGCTCATCTAAATAAAATGACAGCATTTGCCTTAGTTCCATAGATAACTGTGTTCCTAGTGCTTTGGTTTAAAAAATAACTTTGGTAATAAAATACAGCACTGAAGTGACTAGTTCAAGGCACATGCTCTATAAAATTCTCACTCTGTTTTTTCCATTAACCTTTTCCAGTGAACATAAATGAATTACAGCACTTGTTGAATGTGATGTGATACTCCTTCAGTACAAAGGCGGGGGGGTGGTTTGAAGGATTTGGGGATTTAAAATGGTTTTAAGTAACAGACCAATAATTTATGCAGCATATTGTTTAGATACAAACTGCAGTCTGTGGAAGAGAAACCTCTTTAATTTGATATTCTTGAGTGGGTACTCTTACTGGAGTGTATCTACAGTTCACCTGTTTAGTGGAGTCCTGTTTTTGTACATGAAACTTGATGTTGGTGGAATTTAAAACACATTCTAGATATTTACATGTGCAAAATTTGGAGTTTACAACTATTTTTGGTTTTAATTATATCCTTAATCTTTACAGGTCTAGGAAAACGGGAGGATCTTTTCCTGTAACGATGGCAGCAAAATCATCACTCCTTAAAGTAATACTGCTAGGAGATGGTGGAGTTGGGAAGAGTTCCCTCATGAACAGATATGTCACCAACAAGTTTGATGCACAGCTGTTTCATACAATAGGTGTGGAATTCTTAAATAAAGAGTTGGAAGTCGATGGACATTTTGTTACAATGCAGATATGGGACACAGCAGGTCAGGAACGGTTTAGGAGCTTGCGGACTCCTTTCTATAGAGGTTCTGACTGTTGCCTGCTAACCTTCAGTGTGGATGACTCTCAAAGCTTCCAAAACTTAAGCAACTGGAAGAAAGAATTCATCTATTATGCAGATGTCAAGGAGCCTGAAAATTTTCCATTTGTGATACTGGGTAACAAAGTTGATATTGATGAAAGGCAAGTATCTACAGAAGAAGCCCAAGACTGGTGCAGGAATAATGGCAACCATCCCTATTTTGAAACCAGTGCAAAAGATGCTACCAACGTTGCAGCAGCCTTTGAAGAAGCTGTTAGAAGAGTTCTAGCCTCTGAAGATAGATCAGATCACTTTATTCAAACAGATACTGTAAACCTTCATCGGAAACCGAAGCCCAGCTCATCTTGTTGTTGACTTAAGTTTCTTTTTGCCAAATTACTGTCAACTAGCTTGCTCTATAAAAGAATGGAGAAGGTGTAATAGATAGAATAACAAATGGGTTTCACTCTAATATTAAAACCGTAATATTCTGCTGCTTTCATGGGGGAGAAAAAGAAAAATCTCCATTCATGAGTGACCTGTTATTGAATTAGTGATGCTTTCTGTTTAGGAAGACATCAAGGAAAAAAATAATATAAGAATGTAATTTGCCAACTTTATTCAAATGATAAATACTTTGAATATAATTAAAACTTGAAAGTTCTAGAAGCACTACTTTGGAGAAGCTGTTCTGGAATTCAGGCACAAAGATACTTTTATATGTGTATATTTTTATGAAATCGGCATTCCACTTTTGTTTCGGTAGATGTCAGTTTCTTAACAATGCTAGATATTAAACTTCAGTCTCACTACATTCCTTTTGCTGTGAGTGGTACTTCATCTCTAATGTGGTTATTATAAGTTAATATAAATTACATCCAGGTCTTCTAATTGCCTAATGTTGCTGTAATTTGTGTAGGTTTGTAAGTAAGAAGAAAATTTCGTACATATTTAATGTCCATTTTTTCCCATATACTATTCTGATGCTGCACTAATTTTTCCAGTGGTTTAATGCAAAATGCTGATCATTTTTAAAATTAATGTGTGTCCTTGCCTTAAGTCCATTCTAGCATGTTTCTGATCAATAGGGTGAAAAATCTGAGTAACTGAACTATAACCATTTTTTGAAAAAGAAATGCTTTATTCAGTCAGCTTTAATAGCACTTGAAAGGATCTGCATTGTGACAATTTTTTAGGAGAACTTGTGTACAGCCTTAGAAGTTCCAAACTTCTTGTTCCTGTAAACCTGAGCTATGAATGTGTTTACCAGTAATATCTGCACTGTGATATTAAGGATTGGCAATATGTAGAGAACTCAGGAAGCTCTTGACTTTCAGTAGATTTGACAGCTTTCAGCCCTAATACAGGTATATAACTATAGATAATATTTGAGCTGCATTTGATCATTATTAAAATTGCTATTTTAGGATATGGACTTGTACCTTTAAGAGATAATGTCTTTTATATTACTGAATTCATTTCATAATTATGAACCAGAGCAAATTCTGTATTTGTTGGACAATTTTTTTGCAGTCAGGCAGACAAAACTACAGGTGTTTTTGAGGCTTTCAGCTGCATTTTAAATTGTAGAATACTTGTATGAGAAATGGTTATTGGCTCTCAGAGTAACCACTGTCCTTGCAATAGCAAAATTGCAATTGCTTCCATCTGTAGCAATTGCTTCCATCTGTAATTGACTGCTAACAGGCACACATGTGCACGTGGTCTGAGAGAGGAAGTCTGATGCTGCAGGACAGGCCATGTTATTCATTAAATAACTGCTTTCTGTACAGAAATGTTTTTGTTTCAATGGAAAAGCCTTTCTTGAGAGTATATTACCAGCAAGCACTTTATCTTAAAACTATCTGATCAATCTGTACCAGCTGTAATTATTTGGAAGTAAAGCTTGCAAAAACAAACCCTTCTTGTTGCTCTTAGTACACTTTTCTGAATGTATTCTTGCTCGAACCTGTCCAGGGCAACTTTAGTCTGCAGATCTGCTACTCCTGCTTAAAACTTCCATCTTTTTATGCATTCCTAAGTCTGATTCATTCTTGCAGTCTGCATCTATACCAACAGAACTGTGTTTTAAACTTCAATCCCTGAGCAGTTAAATATAGGTTGAACTGCTACTTATGTTTAATATCTAGTCAATGAATGAAAAGATCTGTGAAGAAAATCTTAGCTAAATCCCTCTTTAATCTTAGGATGAGAAAGCAAAAAGCTTTAGAAATTAAGATTGCTTGTGTTAGGGGCTACTAAACTAGTGACATGAAATTGTTGTAAAACCACTACCTTACCACTTAAAGCTTCCTTTAACATTCATTTTAGCAGAGATTAAGGTTGAAACAAAATGGGAGCTGAAGATACTTGGACTAGAGTACTATAGATACCATTCAAGTAAGATTGCTAAAAGGGAAGAATGAAGGATGAGAACCACTGTGGTCTTTCTTCTGTGCAGGCATCTGTGTTTTCCCATCCATCCCCTTTCCATTTCACATCATGGTTACCAAGCATCCATCTCAGAAGTAGGTTTAAAAAAGTTAAAACATAATCCCATAGAAGTGTATTACTTGTGCCCTGGGAGCTGCTGTACCACAACTGTACACTCCTCACAAAAGTGGCCAGTAAAGATAAACAGGTGTGCACATACTGTAGTAAATAAGACAGTATAGGAATTGGATTTAGGTCAGGAATTGATCTCACTGAGAACCTACTGAGTGCCTACAGAATCAAAAATCTTTTGACAAGCAGTTATGGATGACAGGTATAAAATCATAATGCTTAATAACAGACATTAATTTCTGTACTTCAGAAAAGCTAGGTATCATTCCATATGGATGTAGGGTAGGCATTTGTGGCTGATGTTTCAATTCACTGGTTTGTTTCAAGGGCTGACACACCTCAAATATTACAGCATCCTGTTAGCAGTATGTGGAGCTCTGTAGCTTGACAGAGCATACTGTGTAACATGTATGCAAAGTTCCAGTGTAAAACCTGCTGCTGTGGCAGGTTGGTGGGACTGCTGAAAGCTGTGCTTGTTAGAGAGCAGAATGCCAAGGGGCAGAAGAAGCAACCTAGGCCAGCTGACAGCTCATGTCACAACAAACTATCAGTGCTTACATAAGCTGCTTTAACAGCTGCTCCATACCTCAAATGGGTCTTACTTTAAGTCACCTGACAGGTTACCTGAACAGTAATGGAAGCTTGCAGAAAGTGGAGTCTGAGTTGTATTTCCAGCCCGGATTTACGAAGGTTGATTCATGTTAGCTTGTGCTAATGTTCTCATAGCCTTATGCTTGATTTTTGAATGACGTAGGGTAATTCTAGTCTCTTTAACTCATAAACTTTTTATTGCATAATGCAGATTATCTCTGTTTTCTTGTACTACTACAGACTTTATTTTGAATTCTTACTCTTAAGCCCCTGAGAGGATAGAAACATAATTCTTGCAAAGGTGTCTTTTCACTGAGAAACTGTTCACTGAAGCATGCTGGAACTGCAGCCTTCAAGCCTAGAGCAGATTTGTGACTTTAGCTGACCACTAGATAATTTTCACCCCTCACTTCAGCTAGTGGTCTTTCAGCTGACTGAGAAGACTCACAAACTAAAGCAAAAACAAGTGTTTGTCCATGTATGGAGAACTTGGAGCCACCTTGCCAAGGCCTTCAGAGTTCTGTCACAAGGCACACAAACTCTAGGACAAAGGTGATGAGTTGGGACATAATTCTTCCATTCCTGTGGCCAGTAACAGTCTGTTTTCATAAAGCCTAGGTGGACCTGAGTCTGCATTTTCCATCTACAGTTCTTACATTCAGAGGAAAAAGGGAAAGATGTAGGGGAGGCCTAAGAACAGGCACCATTTGGCTGCCTTCAGAAATCAGGCAAGAAAGAAAATGCTTTCCTTTTACTTAATGTCCTACTGCAGCAGCAAATGCAATTATAAAAAACATAGCTTCTAAAAGTGGTAGAAACTATTGGCACTAATCCTTCATATTTGTCAAGCCTTTCCTTCCTGCTAAGTATATGATTAATTAAAGTATTTCCTCAGTGAATCTTAACTGTTATTATTTTTCCAGCCATCATGCTACAAGGGAGGAGGCAGAAAATAACTGCATCTCAGTGGCTCCTTATCACATGATCGAGAATGCTTTACCTCAAGTGTGTTTGTTATTTCCATGTATACAGGAAAAAAAAATTGATTTATATAAAATGACATTACATTATCCAAGTGCTGTACAATGCAGTTTATATGGAAAAACACTGCAAAGACAGGTATTTCCATCTTCACTGGCCACCCCAGCAGGTACTGTTACTGTGGTTATCTAGATTTCTTCTCAATCACTTCAAGTATACTCAACAGGCATCCATACTACAACATTTCATGTTTTATTTAAGGTAAATATGTTCTTTTTTTCTCATGGAACATTTTACAATGACAGAAGTGCAGAAATAATGACTGACTATACACTTACAGCATATACAGATGTGGTCCCCTTAATTATACAGATGATGCAAAATACTTCTTAGAATAGAATGCCACTTCCTTTGGAAATTACCTTTCAGACATTGAAAAAAACCAAGTAAAAGATAGCTTATACAGATTTGCTGCAAAAAGAAGAAGAATACTTAATATTGTAAACCCAAGCAAAGTCTTAGGTACATATATGACATATGATCTATTTAAAAATTACTGGTTTGGAATGATGTTAAGTTTTGCAAAATGGTTCCTGAAACATTTTACAATGGAATAGGAGACAGGTCAAATAATGCCTTTCTGAAACCTTTGATGGTGCAAAGATCCTCCTCTACATTTATTTACAAAAAGAAAGTTTCAGCAGTTGAAGAAATAATGGGAAAAAACAGTGGGTTTAAACATGTAAATTCAGTTTGAGTTGTTTTTATGTGTGAATTAGAATTAATGTCAGGGCAGATCTGGCTCTTCTGGTCTACTTCATTCATTGATGCAACACTGCAGCTAAATGTCTATTGCACTAAATACATAGAAAATTTGAAATTAGACACTTCTAAACTTTAGTGGTTTTCCTCAGAATTTCTTGATGTACTGGAGACAGCTTTTCTGATTTTTCTATTTTTTTATTGAGCACTTTATATACATACAATTACACATCAATAAATAGAGGCTTGATTTACTGCCACAGAGTGTAATGTTAGTCTGGTTAGTCTGCAGAGTGAGCCTTCTACTGAAGGAATACAACTAGGAAAGTTTATTATAAAATTAATCACTTAGGCCCTTTTGCTCGTATTAAACCAGATGACTGGTGAACATCTTTTGCATTTAGGTCTGATTTCCTCCTACCCTCTGTCAGAGGCTTACACTTCGCATATGCATTAATACACAATGTCTCAGTTTCTTCCTTTGTACCTCTGCAGCCTCTGACAGTTTAAAACTTTATTTTCATATCACATAAAAGGAAACTTCTTGAGATACACCTTTTTTTAGCCAGAGAAGCTTGGCTGTTCTTATCCATATCAGCAAAAGAAAAAGCTGCTTCAGCATCCAATTAGTCAGTCTTCAGAAGATGAATATAAAACATGCAGGGGACTAACCAGATGAAGTACAGTTCAAACAACCAGGAAAGTAGGGAAAAAGCACTCACTCAGGAGATTTATTTATTCAGCTTAAAAGGTGTTTCTTCCCAAGGAACTGGACTTTCCTTTCAAAGGCAGTGGATCGAATAGGAGTATTGAGTTCATAAAATGGATTCATTGCAAACTGGGGAAAGATGAAAAACCCATCAGTAAGCACAATGCCCAGCCCTGGAAAATGTCACTTCAGGTGACATCTACTACTAGCTTTCAGCCTATTTAGTGTCACTAAGAGCACAGACCTCTTAAACTGTCCCTGCTTCCCAGGCCCTTGCATTCTTCCCATACATGTGCAGAGCCATCCCCTAGCACCAGCTCCTCAGAGCAAACCCAACACACTGGTAGAAATTAGGATCATTTGAGTGCCTGTGGGAGGCTAGATGGTGATGCTTGCCATGACTGTTTGCCATGACCCTGTCTAGTGGAAGTACCACCAGGATTTGGGAACAAGGGCTATGTGTTCCAAGAGCAAAGCTATTGGGCTCTGTACAAGAGTCTTCTCATTATCATCATTAATGATACCATATTGCCACAAAATGCATCACAAGAAGTTGCCCCACAAGTTCTCTGTTGCCCAGAGAAGCTGTTGATTCCTCATCCCTGGAGTTGTTCGAGGCCAGGCTGGATGGCGCTTTGACCAGTCTGGTCTAGTGGAAGCTGTCCCTGCCCATGGCAAGGAAGCTGTAGATGATTTTTAAGGTCCCTTCCTACCCAAACCATTCTAATCTATTCTACAAAAATCACTGGACTAAAGTGAAGAAGTCTAAAAGAGCACAGTTTATAAAATTTCAAAAAACCTATTCTGTTTAATGGAAAATACAGCCTTTGTGTCACATATTACCAGCTCTAGCTGATGTGGACTGTGCAGGTGCTTGCTTATAGAGGCCCTCAAGAGAAAACATGCTAATACAGCTGTGCCTGAGCACAACCAGCAGAACACGCTTAAAAGTAGTGCAGCAAGACCATAAAATGATTTCTTACCTTTATATACAGCTCATATACATCAGTAAAGAAGTTCTTAATTCCATCTTCTTGCCTTACATCATGAAGCATTATAAATCTCATATGTACCGTAATTAAGGAGAATAAAACTTTTACAAAGAAAAGACACATTATCCTGAGATAAGCATTTACACCTAATTCAACATATACCTGTTAGCTGCACACAAAATAGCAGTGACTCATAGGAGGAAGCATTTAAAAAAGTAATTGAAGCATAGAAATTTGGAAAGCATTACTTTTATATTTTAACATCCCCCTATTTGAAAATAATCACCTCTCTATCCAAGGTTTCTTTTTTAAAACAATGTAATTCTGAATGTGGATGATGCTCCCTGCACCTCAGCCATGTACCCCTAAAGTTAAAATGTCGTTCAGTGTTACTTGCTATGTGTAACAAATATTTCTCATCAAACAGTTCCAGGACTCCCTGTACATAGCATCAAGCCTCAGCACTGCCTTCTCACCACTGGAGTGACCGACACCAGGCATGTTCACTGCCACTTCTCTCCAGCACAGTCAAAAGGGTGGAAACAGAGAATCATAAAAGCTAGCTCAGAGCCTCTCATACCTCTTTACTCCATGTACCACATTTCATTATGCTATTTCAGCTCCTACAAAGGTAAAAATCCACCTTTCCAATTGTTCCCAGCTGCTGTGCCTCCCAATATAGCTCTTCCTGAAGCTGATGACTCTAACAATAATAGCGAATAGCCAGAGAAATCTGTTCCAAACTCACTTTATCTAACTTACCTCTGCCTGGGAAAAGGCTTTTCTTAAATAAATATAAGGAAAAAGAACAGGGAAGGATATGTCCAGCTGTGACAAAAGCAGAAACAAACCATTCATTAAACTTGTCCACAGTCTTCAAGTACATGTTGTTAGAAAGCCACATGTTCTCATCTACGAGGTCGAGAGCAGCATGGGCAATGAACTGGTTGAGATGGCGATGATCATCCTAATGCATTTCCAGAAGACAGCAGATCAGTAATTCAGTGAAAGGAATGAAATATGAACAATCATTTGCTCAGGTTGCTACAGAACCAATGTTCAAGTTACATAATGTTACATAATGTTACACATACCCTGCTTTTCTGTCACATGTGCCATCCTGTAATTAAATGAAACTAGCATATGTTTTCATGATACTTGGTTTCAAGGGAGAAAAGAGATCATCATAAAAAGATCATCACAAAACCAGTCCTGAGAGCAACAAAATCACTCAAGCCTGTATTACATCTCAGGAACGAACTCAAGCATGAATTCTTTTGTTTATTGATGGGCAAACTCCCACTGCTAACTTATTCCACAATATAAGCCCTCATATGTCTTTTTCTCTTCTTTCGAGACATCTGGTTTTGTGATATTTACATAGCATACATAAAATGTAGCATTTTCTGGACAATAAAATTTCAGTCAAATTTGGCAGAAATTGACCCATAGGTTACAATGTGTAAAAGCTACAGTACAGATGCAGAAAGCATAAATACAGAGGGCAGGTATGCTGATAAAATCACCTAAAGATTCTGGTTTTCTCATTTACCTAGAAACAGGACTGTTTTATTGGTTTTGGGGTCTTCTTTTTCTGCAACTAGTATTAAATATATGCCTGCAGATGTGAACTGCATCTCTTCCAATAATAAAAACGAGATCACAGTGTTTGGCCTGTGTACTTTGTAGGCAGTCTAGAACACCAGAGGACATCTGCCAAGAAGAGATAAGGGTCAAAACCACACTGGAAGCTTTTATTAGACTGGAAGAAGAAGTAGTTTTGTACTGTTTCTCATAGTAACAGGATGCTGTTACTGCCAATCTCACCTCTCAGGTTTTCCCTGCAATCAGCTTTTACACATCCTCACAGAAAGTCTAGTCTGAGTAGCCTTATTTATGAGCTTTTATGGGACATTAGTTCAAACTACAGATGATGCCATGCAGTTCCAATCAGTGACAGCATATACTTCCATTTTTGGATACACTCACAGGTACATGCACTTTTATTCTAAAGCCTATTTTTATTTTGATGTAATGCCACTTACAGATAGATTCGCTCTTTTCCCATTGGAAACAATACTTATTGAGTACTATTGCATTTATCACATTTTCAAAGTCTTTGTTTATCAATATTCCTTACTTAAAAGCAAGTATGACTATTGAAGATGATTAAAAAATTAGGTATTTTATAGCATAAAGAATAAAGGACTGAATAGAGCTTTCAAATTTATGTTTCTTACATTACCTTATTACTGTATATGAATGTCTTAAAAGTAAGTGGCATTAAACAATGAAGAGCTACTATAAAACCTCTGCACACTAAGAGAAATTACCAAAGCAAAACTAAGATATATATATAACATACAGCAGGGAATACATAAGGAAGCTGTGTTTTGTGAAGAACTAGTATAATCTGGCAAAGATTTTTTTAGAGACTTGGGAAATCCAGAGTTCTACTCCCTATGACAAAATTTCTGTTCAGTAAACCCCAGAAAACTGTAGATACTTTTAACAATGCTGGTCATGCTTCTAATACACTGTAAAATTATAAAAGAATCACAGGAGTGTCATGAGGGGAAAAAAACACACCTTTGACTCGACTTTTCCAGGAGGCAGAAATTCCATTTCAAATATGGGATTATCATGATGACCAACTATGACGAAGTAGAAACTTCCAGACATTCTTCAAAACAATGCTCCCTACAAGAAAAGACGAAAATGCTGATGAGTCTATATACAAACTCTTAATTCATGTAGAAGCGCTCCCAAAAATCAGCCAATGTGCTCCAATCCATATTTACCAGAGGCTAAAGAGAAATAAACATTTAGGTATGCACATCAAGAGGATGCAGCCGAGCTCTTCTTGGCGCAGCCACTCACCAGGATGAGAAACAACGGGCAGAAACTGATTCCCGGGAAGTTCCACCTGGACACGAGGAAGAACTTACTGCTGTGCGTGTGACTGAGCACTGGAACAGCCTGTCCAGAGAGGCTGGAGCTATTCCAGAACCGTCTGGACACAATTCTGCGTCCTGTGCTCCAGGATGACCCTGTTTGAGCAGGCTGGGCCGGATGCCTGTGTTCCCTCCCCACGTGGCAGATTCTGGGGAAGCCGGAGAATATCCCTGGGAAGTGGACCTGGAAGTGAAGCTAGGTGCCTAAAACCGGCTCGTGCCGTGCATTGGTGGATGATTTACCCCCGGGAGCCCCCGGTGACCCGGACACAGCGATCCCAGGCCATAACGCGCAGCACCCGCCGCCCAGGAACCTGCTCGCCTGTCTCTCCCGGGCCCTGCTCACAGCCAGCAGGAGAGGAAGGGCGGCGAGCGGCTCCTCCCTGGCACACGGCCGCCTGGGACAATCCCACGGCTCCATCCCCGGGCACTCCAGAGGTGCCTGGAAAGGCCGACCCGTCCCGCCGTCCCCCGGCCTCCCCGGGGACGGCCCGGACTCCGCGGGGCTGCCGTTCCCAGCGGGGCCCGCGGCACAGGCGGGCAGGGAGAAGGGCCCAGCCCGCAGGGTCCCGCCCGGGCCCGCCGCCTACCCTGCGCCGCGCCCCGTCCGCCTCCCGCCCGCGGCCGCCGGTGACAAAAGCAG